TGAGTAATTTCCATGCTCCCTATACTTGAATGAGCATTATGCTTGTTCAGCTATTGTTTAAATTTACTTCTTTTTAAAAGGGTGGGGACTTTTAGATAATGTTGTTGGACACACTGATATTGAATTCCTGGCATGGAGTTGTCTAATGAGTCACGAGTCCATCCAAATCACTTTCCTGGATGTAAAATCTTATTATCTGTAGAAAAGCCATCTTTTGTACTTCTGAGTAGTGAAATGGATAGGATGTTAATGTTGAAATCAATGTCTGATTGTCTGAATCATCTACTAGCATGTTCGACTCAGAGACCTTAAGTAATCAGCTATGGTCACACATGATTGTATTGTGGCAAAATATTGCTGAGCTATATGGTCGCTACGTTTATTGAGGCTTTGATTTCCTGTCTATATGATTTCCTCAGTTGTAACTGTGTATTTGTCCAACAATATTTCCTCTTTTGCAACTTGTCATTTTACATAGTCTTAGTTTCTCTCCCCTTTAATCATGATTTACTGTCATTCATCTTACCTTGACAGACTTCACCTGATGCTTTATCTTATGAGTTCCGAATACCATTATGCAGTATCTGTTACTGGAAAATGGAAGGATTAATCTTCTTTACTTCTTAATGACAGGTATTCACTCACCAAAGCCTTCTGTGTTGCATTTATGCTGACTTTTTTCAGTGCGTTTGATGTACCGGTGTTCTGGCCAATTTTGTTATTCTATTGGTTGGTTCTATTCATTTCAACGATGAAGAGGCAGATAATGCACATGATCAAATATAGATATGTGCCCTTCACCTTTGGTAAACAGGTAGATACTTAGCCATTTAGTTATTAGATATTAATTGGTCATTTTTAGTATTTTGTTTCTATTATCCTGTCAGATTTTATTTTGGCATTTGTGAAGTAGTTGAAACATTTCACCCTTTTGACTCAGCGTTACACCGGGAAGAAAGTAGTTCCCTCTGATGATGCTAGCATTTCCAGGCCTTGATGGTTCAGGTAAAGATGGAAGACTTTTACCTATATTTTAGGTTGTTTAGGTGGCTATAATCTTCAACAAGGGAATTTCATAGTTATTCCCGAAGAATTCTCCAAGTATCTTATTTTTTCAGTGAAGGATAATTTAGTTTTCTGGTGCCTCTATGCTCATATAGAACACCTTTTTACTTCTAACTGATATGACACTTATTCCATTACATGTCAATGTAAATGCGGAATGATTAAATCCTAAAATGTTTGTACTATTCACAGATATTTTAGTATCTAGGTTTCCTTGCTCTCCTATTTTACAATGTTTTGTTGTATTTCTCATGTCATTTGACCTGAGTAAGATCACCTCTTCAAAGGCGCTGATCCTTTCTCTGACTGGCAGATTTGTATCCCATGCTTTTGGTAGATATCTTGCTCTCATGTTGCAATTCCTTATTTTTATTTTTTATATGATTGGGCCCCCGAAAAGTCGATAGATGATTGCCTTGGAATTGAAGTTGGCAGCCGTGCAATGCTTCTGGATTAAGAGTTTTGATTGGGATGAATCCATTTTTCTATGGCGTTTGTCCTGAGGTGACAAGTTCTTCTCACATTTTAGTGAGTGTGATCTTAGTTAGTATAGCGTGTTGATTGTTATATGAAGTTGATCAGGAAAGATGAACATGATTAAAGGTAAGCCCAAGCGATTTATTTTTAATCACAAAACTTCACCAGTAGGAACTGTACTTGAACCTCTATCCTAAAAGATAAGGGAAGGTAGGACAAGTGATTATTGAGGGGGCTGGAAGGCCCATGCCATTGATGTCTTGTTGGAAAGTGTTAATATACCCTGTTGGCCTACGATCTGGAGATGTCAAGTCTTGGTACCTGCTTCCGTGGGGTTGTATTATCTGCCCCTTGCTATCAAGACGCCACGGTACATATTATGTCTTTTGTCTCCATTGTCATTGAGTAGGGAGCACGATTTTTTGTAATTGAAGTTTACCGTTGTCTCCAGTTTTGTGAAGGTTGAGCTTGTTGAGAGCGCTGACATCTATTTTCAAATGAAAGAAGGTTTCAAGAGAGAGAAAAGGCTCTTGGGTTAGTTAACGTGGAAGCACAAATTGTGCACTGTGATCCTACATATTTTAACTTGGGATGGGATCGGGATTGGAATTAGGATGGAAATTTTGGTGTTAAAAGTATTTTGCGACCCTTTTTTGGTGGAGATGATAAAGTTTTAAATAAATTTTCTCTGCGTAGTCCACCTGTCCGTGAAATGAAACTTCTGATGCATTTTTCCTTCATGTTTCTTCTTTGGTTTTCATTTGACCCAAGCTGAGGCACTGGAGGATTGGTCTGGTAGACGCATTGTTACAAGTCAGGCAAGATCATCGGTGGACTAAAGTGTCTGATGCTTTTAAGTGTCGATTCCGAACTTGCATGAGACCTCCATTCTATAATTGAAGCCGGTAGGAAAAGTATGGTTTGTTTCCGATGGTCAAAAAAGTCGACCTCAACAAAACTAGGATGGATGCTCTACCCCTTGCTGAATGGATTGTGGAGGACCCTGATTTATCAGTCTTGTGCAAATGAAACCATATATCTGCCAGGACTTGTAACTTTCTAAGCTTGCTGATTATAGTTCTCAAATGATGCAGCTTGTGGTTGCAGCGTCCTCTAGTGATTGATGCTATTCACCCTGATAGATGCATAATTTACAGATTCCCATTTCTTCACCGTGGCTCTCTCATTTTCTTGAGGTTAAGAAATATTGGAGTCGCTCTTTCCTATAATAATTTTCTGCTCATCCATTCGGTGGCCAATGCAAGGGAGCCAGAGGGACACGAAATAATATATAGCCCAATAAAACAAATAGCACGCCAGCAAAATGGATTTTGCAAGCTAAGATCAACATCATGGAAACGGTATACAGTGAGGAAAAAATAGGTGTGTCCGGTTGTAACTTGTAAGAGTTAAGACAAAGTTCCAAATCAATCTTGATCATGGACTTGGGACAAGATTTAGTGCACGGCGTGGGGTGATATGACCACTCAACCTTGCAGGACCACCTGCTGCAACTACAAGCAATTTGTCCTCGAGGAGGCCTCCTCAAGATTAGGATCCAGTCTCTTGAATATCATATGCAACTTCTGTGATCTCTAAATGAGGACACCATATGCCCTCATCTTTTGGTTAGAAACTTCTTAAATTACTAGACATGTTTGTGACCTTAACGGACTGTAGTATTCAATTCTGCAGACACTGAATTTGGAGTTGCTCTTTCAGCAGTTAAATTGGTTGGATTATTTGAATTAGTCTGGGGTTCTTGAAGAGGACCTAACTATAGCACACAATCAATCAAATCTCCCTACGACTGCGATGTGCCGAAAGGTAAACGAACCAACTTGGCATAAGCTTCTTGTAGCTTCAAACAAGTGAATGAATAAAACTAAGGCCAGTACTTAAATTTAACGAGTTCAGCATGTTCAAACACATTTAATAACAACAAATTAAGACATCTGATTTAATTAATTAGCATTAAATTTATGAGGCAAAACTTGTTCCAAAAAAAAATAAGTGATAAATACACTCAATTGTATTACGTTTTTAAAACTTAACAATTCATTTTTCAATTTTCAATTTTATTAGACGCACCTTGAGACTTCTTCTCAACTAACTTATTGGGTTGTGTACCACATAAAGTGATTATATAACCATAATTTCGGCTTCATCAAACTTGATGCTTTTAATTTTGGCTGTTTAGCTTTACAAATTTATCGTCTAGTATTTAGGAAGATCGTCTACCGTGTTATTGTCCCTTTTGACAAATTGTCAACAATTAAAAAGAGGCGACCATAACTGCGTTGCTAGGACACAACTTATTGTTATCGGAGCCTAAAGCTGCAAGAACTCGCGGTCACATGAATATGGGATAGGCCACAATTTGAGGTTTGGATGGCGTGTCGTTGGTGGCCATTGGTTGCTTGCACGTAGCTGAATGATGTTAGGAAGAGGTGATGGAGTCTAGGAAGGGTATGGTTCGTCATATAAAATGTTTCAGCTGAGGTAATTGCTTGAATAAGCAAAGTCAACTAATCAAAGCTTGATTGGGCAAAATTAATAGTCTGTTTACCATGAAAATGGGAGTGGGGAAAAACGAACAATTTTCCATTTCGAGTAACAGACAGGTTCCACTTTTCTCGTCCACCAAGAATGATTAGCGGAAAGAGATTTTCATGATAGGTTGTAAGTCCATTTCTGACGAACTAAAAGTAATTGATTAGAAGAAGGCACAATCATGACAATGCCCTCTAAAGCAAGCGGCTAATGTGCGTCGTATTACTTCTAGCAAAGAATTTGGGGAGCTGTACATTTCATCGGGCCTGACCAGACTCACCAAAGTCTTAGGAAAATGAGACAGTTGTTAAGCTGTGTAGAAAGACAGCAGCATCAAATCTCATAAGCTCAGTACCGTAGTGGGAGTAACTTCTGTCATCTACTTCTGCCAAGGACAATTAAAGTGTATTAAAGTTCAAACAGGCTGCTAAGAGATTTTTTTTTTTTTTTTTGTTTGTCCCCAGACGTCAAAATTCATCCAACAACACTACTGTTGATTTGATTATTATGTGGACAAAATAGTTCACGGGTCATCTCAAGAAATTTATGTATAGAAAACGATGATCAAGACTTTAGTAGTAGTTTACTACTTGTTTAACGCAGGAATACCCGATAAATATAGGTGGTTTTGGATTAGCATTTGCATGTAAACTACTACTTACTCGTGATTTCTTAGTTTTTAATCTTGAACTTCTTTGGACAAGTCGTACTTGATGTCTGATAAAGATGCACAAACTTTCAACTTTCGTTTTTTGGACCCTTGTCATTTAACCAACCCCCTGTTTGGTATAGTCCCTACTCGTGTTCCTTCCTTCAGAGGGCAACTATATCTTTTCCAGCTCCATGACCTCACATTTTCAAGTACTCCCTGATTCCTCTAGTCAGAGAAAGTCCAAAAGCCAAAGAGTAAAAGGAAAAAAAGAAAAGAAGTTTTGGGGTTGCAAAAGTTGTGCAATTCACTCTCCTCTCTTACGCGTGGTTATGCAACTTTTCTTTGTTTGTTCTTTATCCTTTAATTGTGATTGGAACCTACACCGAAGTTGTAAGCTTGTTTTTCTCTTTGAGTCAGTTCTCTCTGGCTCTGGACAATGGATGGTGGACTTCCCATGCTCAACTGTCTTTTACAGCACACTCTCAGAAGCTTGTGTACTACAGGAACTAGTACTACTTCTAGTTCAGATTCTTCCACCTCTGCTAAGTGGGTATATTCTGTTTTCTGGAGGATCCTGCCAAGAAATTATCCTCCACCCAAGTAAGTACCTTAAATGTTTCAATCCAAATAATGAATTTCAAGAATTCTTGAAATGCTCTTTTTCGGTAATTGTAACGTAATGAAGATCATAATTTGCTCGAAATGTTGCAGGTGGGATCATGGAGGAAGCATACTTGATCGTGCTAAAGGGAACAAAAGGAACTGGTAAAGTTTTTATTTGAGAATTATGATCATTTTGTGTCCAATTACAACTCATCAAGTAATCTAACCTCCAATTTTTGGCTCAGGATACTTGTTTGGGAAGATGGATTCTGTGATTTTTACGAATGCGAACGAGCAGGTAGCGGATATGTGAAGGGAAGATTTGGAGCTGATATTTTCTTCAAAATGTCTCATGAGGTCTATAACTTTGGAGAAGGGTATATATAGCAGTCATGTTCTTACTTAACTTTCTTGTGATTACTGTTTAAGTGGTTTAAAATTGCAATTATCTTGTATGATCTTGGATACAGATTGGTGGGTAAAGTTGCTTCAGACAACAGTCATAAATGGGTGTTCAGAGACTGTCCAAATGAAAATGATCCCAGCTTCATCCATTCATGGAATGTATCTGTTGATCCTGTAAGCAAAAAATTGCCCTTGTGAGGAGTTGAAACCAAATTTCCAGTATTACCTCTTTCTTTTTTCATGTCAATTGATTGCATTTTCTTGTACTTGATCTTTCTTTTTAAACAGCAACCAAGAGCATGGGAGGCTCAATTTAATTCAGGCATTCAGGTTAGTGTAAACTCCGATACATATTCTTCTCAGTTCCACTAAGATCACATCAAAAATTGCTTCAATCCTTGGCAGACGATTGCAATCATAGCAGTAAGAGAAGGCATAATACAACTTGGCTCGTTTGACAAGGTCCGTCTCTCCTTCTCCAACTCTTACGGAATTTTTCGTGGTATCCATCTGTTAATCAGTTAAGATTTACAACATTCCAATATTTAATTTTAGGTTGCTGAAGATCTTAATTTGGTGATAAGCATCCAAAGGAAGTTCAGCTACCTGCAGAGCATACCAGGCATCTATGCTATACAAAGACCATATTTACCAATTCAGCAGCCCCATACTTTCAGGACCAATACAACACCCCATTTTATGATCGAAACTGGAGAAACAGCTTACGGGGTTGATGATAAACGCCAGTTAGTTGGATCAAAGAGACTCTACTGTGATCGACCTGACGAATTTCCTGTCAAGTCCATCAACTTAGGCTTCAACAGTCCCCATAATGGCATGATTGGACCACCTCCGGCATTATGGTCCATTCCACCTCTTCTGCCCTCATCAGCTTGCAGTCCTGGAGCTGCTTGTATTCCAAAGATGCCTTCCATCTCACCATCTTATAATGCAATTGAAGCAACTGATACTCTGCTGCTGAGCAAACAGAATTGCACCATGAAAACTTCAAGCCAGTCTGTTAAGGTCAATGAATTTATTGGTTTAAGTGAGATGCAAAGTGGTGATATAAAGGCTGAAACAACCTGTGCAATGGAGGCTGCTCAAGAAGGAAAGCCTGGAACTTTAAGCCATAGTTTAGGAGTGGAATGTAGGGTAGTGAAACTGGGGTTTGGACCCCAGTCAGAAGAAGAGTGTGCTCTGAACCTTAATTAAATAGCTGGATGTTAGTTCTTACCGTTGTCATGATTCTAATGTTAAGACTGTCAAGAAGAGTATTGGATTGGCGCTGGCAGCTTAATTTTAGATGTATAAAATTGTGTATAAATTAAATGAATCTCAGCTCTTCTTGCAAACTGCAATCTTCAACATTATGTTTGAGATTTTTGATCCTCAAATCCACATACATGCACTCCATGTTCTATCTGGAATTGAGACAAGAAATGTTATTATGGATAACTTAGAATCCAATTGTCTTTAACGCAATTTTGAGTTATGCTTTGTGGCCTTTAGATAACGATACAAGATTATAATCGATTCAACCAAGATTACGATCATCGGGTCAAGACAAGCGGAAGGAATGCATTTGAATAACATTACAATTAACGCACATAATTTGAGTTGTCCTTTTTTGTAAGAGGACAACTTCTTCTAATTATGCAACATATTCCTGCGATATACAGATAAGCGCAGCAGCAGCAGCAACAGCAGTATATATAATACAACGTAGTTCCAAGTTAATGGTGACAACACTTGTCTCAGGGGCAATAAAGACAGGGTTGGAAGGAGATGAAAATGTCACCAGTAGTAATCTGAAATCCGGTTGTTTGAAATTAATGGCGTCGGCCCAATAGAAATATCTTGGATTTTCGATTCAACCTAACTTCTTCTTGTACCACATCTCCATCTCTTGGAGGAAACAGTGTCACATTCAAGTTGTTAGTACACAACTACATATCACATCATTATATATATATATATATATATCTGCTATATCTGCATCTAGGGAATGGATTTAAATTTTGCTTCCTACTTACCCACTTGTAACTGCAGCTATGTGCCAATATCCCACTATTTGCCATATAAATTTTTTTTTCTTTGGCCACCAAAATGTAGGTTATGGAGTATTACGTAGTGCTTCTGATTTTGGAACCATAGAGTAGAGGTACAAACGGATATCCAATCTAATGTTGTCACGCTTAATTGCACTTTACGATTGCTAGTTTGCTGACTAATAAGCGTGCGTTTGGATTGTATTTTTTTGGATTTTTTTTTTTTTGTAGAAAAATTACTACGGCGATTTGATACGTGTAAGGTAAAAAGATAATTAAAAAATATATCCACGAAAAACATAGCAATTTTTCTTTGAAAATCTGCAATCCAAACACACCCAGGAGCTGATGATATATATATATATATATATAGATTGCTCGTCTGTTCTTTGTTGTTTCATTAGCAGGACTTGTAATTGATGATGCTGTCACAAAGTTGCCAAGGATACACTAAAATTTGTCTACAGATGATGAGATGAGGCTATTAATCCTTAGCTCTACCCAATTGTCAATTCATTCCTTTCGAAAACTAGAAAGAAAGCAATAAAAATTTTTGCAATTGACAGAGGCAAACTGGGATTGAGAGAAAAACAAAATGATAAACTTCAGATATTGCTACTCTTTTTTTTAACTTTTCCACTAAGTAGAAAAGAGCATCTTGACTGAAAAAGGAACAGATATACCATGAAAGCGAAAGAAGAAAAAAGAAGATAAAAGATGGACAAAAAGATGAGCGAGCAAAGAACGAGGATCAAATTGTGGCGCGTGAAGCTGGATATGATATCCAATCTTTGACAGATTGGATGGTCCCAAACCCTAACCCCAAGTTTTTTGGGCTTTTCTTGCAAGGTGGTGCGTATATTCTGAGAAAAATAATGGCGATGTTTAACAGGACATTGATGTGGCCCCTTTCAATCATACGACTCGTTGATTTGAATCTCAAACAATATGATGGTTTGTCCTAATGATTCTGGGAGTATTGTCCAAAGTAAGTTTATATGCAGTATTTAGGTTAGGTTTCAGAATTTTGTCTTTGTTACATGTACAATTAATTATACACGGTCGATTAACATTGCAACAAAAAAAAAAAAAAGGGAATTTTGAAATTTTATGGCATGTATTGAACTGAATCTTCCAACACAATATACTAAATCTAAACAATAATCAAAGATTTAGCACTTTAATCATCATGCAGAGTTTCAAAATTCATTCAATTCAAAGTCATTAAGAAACAGTACTGTATGTAGTATCAGCTTCTCTTTTTGGTCTATTCTGCATCACTTCCAAGAGAAGTGGAGAAGTTCATAAAATACAAATGGAAGGTATTTCCCCCTCATATTCAGGCTAATATCACTTTGCTTTCTTCCCAATTATTATGGGCTTCTAGCTATATAATTTTTCGTATTTTTTGCAATATTTTTATTTCCCTTTCTCTTTCTTCTCATTTCCTTTTCTTTTCCATTATTTCATGCTATCACTTCTTCCCTCTTTCTGTTATTATTTTTTCATTTACTAAATGCTCTTATTATTTGCATAGTCTGAGATCAATTTTTATTTGCTTTAGCTCATTCTTTGATTTCTTCTGCAATATAAATATGGATAGGATGTGTTCATAAGAAAATCTGTAGAAGAAATAGTGCTGCACTAAATTCACATAGCCGATGATAATCAACCAACCGCCCTCGTTCATTAAAAGTTCACCGGCCTCGTGAAGATCTCAAAAATATTTCCCAGAATGGTTTTCTCTAAAGCCTTTACATGACCATCTTTTGGCCAGTGCCTACATAAACTGTTAAAAGGAAACAGATCGCCAGCAACCGAAATGAAATCCAAGCCAGCATTTAAATAAGATTTAAGTACACATAAGCAAATCAGATTGTAGCAGCAGATGAATGTTCTACTTGTTCTGTTTGTTCGAATAGAAGTTTTAGATATAGATATTTAAAGCCTATATACAGATGACCGTCTAATCATATCTTTAATCAATCAATCGGGATTCTGTAACTTCAGTGGTGGTATGGAAAACAGGAAGGGGGCACCATGCGAATTTGTGATATTCCTCTGCCTTTCCTTTCCTTTATCCACACCACTTACAGATTGGTCATCAGGTTTTTTTAAGAGCTGCTCTTCATTCCTTCTGTGCCTGACTTCACCCTCTTAATAGGCCTAGCAAGCATGTGCTTCATAACCTTCACTCCAAGAGGGTTGTCCTTGCTCTGTGTTAAAACAAGAAAGTTGGTTTTATAAGCAAGATAAAACTCGGTGTATCTGCAAGAAAATTATCCAAGGACGAGTTAAATGACAGCATTTACTTACAAGTGAGCAAGTGCCTGACTGAACGTGGCAAACGGGGTAATCGTGGGGGCAGCAGCTGTAGTGGTCTTCACAGCATACGGCACCTTCTAGAGGGCAGCATCCCCATTCGAAGCACGAGCCATAGAACTCGAAGACACAGCAGCAGGTGTTGTCCTGTGGGCATTCATAGTAATTATCACAGGCCGCCGGAGGCTTGATTGGAGATGGAGGGGAAGGACCAGGATTGGGAGGATTTGGGCCTTTCTTGACAGGGTAAGAGGGCTCACTGGTGATGCCACATAAGCCTGAGGTTGCTTTGACATTACGCTCCATCCTGATGTAGCCATCCTCCCCCCACTCTGCACCCCATGAGTTCCTGACGATCCAATAATCCTTACCGTTTGCTGTACCATATCCAACCACATTCACACCGTGATCTAATGCAGTCCCACAGTTGCCGGTGAATAAACCCTGAAGTTGTTCAAAGTAAATATATATTAACAGGCAAGTAAAGGGCAGAAACCGTGCAGAACTAAGCAGCATGCTGTGTCCTATCCCTATAGAATTACAGAGAGTTCAGCACTGAACTCGAAAACCTCGCGAGTTGTAGCCTTCTACACTAAAAAATTAAGAGTCTTGCTCCTGGTAAACCAACAAAATTACGAGGTGAATGGGAACCAGTTTTCAATACTAGAAAGGAGCTAAACCATTACCTTTCAGTTGTAGTGAAGTACTAGGAAGAACACAAATTAACTAATTAAACAATTATTTGCTGACAACATAAAAGTTTCCGTATATACATCATTGTTGCAATGATTGCAAACATCCTCACTTTAAATCACGAAAACATATTCATTCGACGAAGGAAAACTTTTTTGGCATTTCTCAATGACTAGAAAGATGGATGGAACTCACCTTCAAATAGAGTTGGAAATCTCTGCTAGAACCTTCAATGGCAACACTGACGGGTTGATTGGCCACGGCCTTCTGCAGTGCCCTCTCATCATAGGGAATTACATCTTCATAGCCGTCAATTGTGACCACCCTGGCATTTTTCTGCAAGCAAGAGCTAGGTTCTTAGTCATTATTTTTTTTGCTGATTAATTTCTTTTTTTTTTAAACTAACATAAAGAATTCAATACGTACCCTGTATGTGTCACACGTCATGTCCCTGCCTCTGTACGGATAGTCTTCCTCAGTATCAATGCCACCATTGTTGATGATGAACTCAAACGCATAGTCCATGAGGCCACCGTTGCAGCCTTCATCATAAGAAGTATCACAATCCACTAGTTCTTGCTCAGACAGGGAGATCAAATCACCAGTCACAATCTGGTTGATCCCTTCCACGGCAGCAACTGCTGAGAAGGCCCAGCAACTCCCTTCGTTTTCCCATTAAATTCATCCACAAAACAATAATGTAAGATTAGCACACAGACATTAACAAGGGTAAGTGGCAAACGACAAAAAATTACACCATTAATGAGTCGCATACAGATCTTTGAAACAAGGGCCATTAATATCGTTCCCGTGTAAAAGAAAATCAAGGACACCATCACCAATAAGGCCTGCAACAACTACATTCCTTCCCAAATCCGAACATGTATATACTGCTGCTAGTATCTTGTGAAATTGGATGCTCACCAACATAAGATGAACTAACAACAAAGAAATTAATGTTCGCAAGTAAGTTAGGCAGGCCAGAAATTAGGCACGACCAAAATATTTGGTAGCTACTAAAAGGAAGTGTGGTGGAGTATTTTGCCGGAGCAAGAAGTTGTCCATTATAGCAACAGGTGGGAACTGTTAATAAGGCACAACTACGGAATGATAAGGGGGCTTAATCTTGAGAGAAAATAAAAAGAATTAATGTAGCAACATCAACAACATTAGAAAAATTATTATATAAGCAATTAAAACTTGGAGAAAAAAAAAAAAAAAGAGTCTAATCTACCAATAGTTTCAAAGCCGAACTTGAATTTCACGGGAAAGTCAAAAAATAAATAAATAACTCTGGTTGAATTTTTATTT